TGAAATAGGATGACAGGATACCGACTCTGATACCTACTGTAACGACCCTACTTACATGGTCATGACTTAACTACATAATCTTAAACTTAACTTAAAATACTCATATTTTTTTAAATGAAATAATAATTTCGTAAAACATATTAATAACAATTCATAAAACATTTTGTAACTTAAATTTAAATCCTCTAAGATGAATTTAAATTAGAAATCTTTATGAATTTGTATTTCAAATACTTTTTAAAACCTTTCTAAACTAAGGTTGTATAATTACAACCTTGGTCTTCAATAACATACATGCATATACACTTAAATCTCATGAATCGTAAACACATAATTTTATTTAATCTTACTGCAGAAGATTTATGTATGAACGGTATCCATTCCCTTCTCCACCCTTCGTGCACCGCTCGCCACTGCCTGTCGAGAGTTGCTGATAGGTTTCTTACCTACAACATGAACATATCTAAATGAGCTTTCGCTCAACAAGTAGAAACTACATCTCGCAAAACAATTGTGAATATATATACTAAAATATGCATGTTCCAGTTATACTTAATTATGATAATATCTTATTGAACTCTTATTAACTTACTAAACTGATGGGCCAGAGTGTTCATACCAATTACGCACGATCATCAGGAAGTTAGGGTTCGCGAAGGTCCCTAAACATACCCTAATTATACTAAAAAGAATACCTCCCTCGTGGAGGATTCTAAATCTATACTCAAGTTGAATATCTCCCTTGCGGAGAATTTGCTTACCTCCCTCGCGGAGGCTGCTATGACACTTAATTTCATTTTTATAAGTTTCACTGGACTTATAAGTGAGTATGCAGTATGACATGACATTACACACTATAACACAATGTAATTTCTTATGAATTTATCTGGTTATACTTGATGGGCCCTAGTGCTCGTACCAATTGCGTAATATCATTGCGGAGTTGGGGTTCGCAAGGTCCCAACAACACCGTGATCTTGAAACATGAGTGCCTCCCCTTAGGTTGAGATGACTTGAATTCTCCCCTTAGGTCGAGAAAATTGAACTTGAACATGTGCCTCCCTTTAGGTCAGGAGGTTAGTATAACACTCTTAACTTTTTTGTTTCACTTGTCTTATTTTGTGTATGCAGTATGACATATTACTACATAACATCACCTTAATAGACGTAATCATACTTAGCATAAGATGAGTCTGCGATCGGAAGCTTCAGGTATTTTTGAGTATTTTCAAAACTTTGGCCGGTGAGTGCGGCTTCGTTTGGAGGACTTAGCGGCCACATAAAACCATTCCGAGTTAGCTCGATGAGAGCTTTGCATTGATGTTGGAGGTGTCAAAAATTGACACCAGAATAGTGATCGGAGGTAGGCTGCCATGAACGGTGAAGGATGAGAAATGAGAGAGAGAGAGAGAGTGTGTGTGTGTGTGTGAGTGACGTGAAAATGTGAGAGATGAGAGAGAAACGTGGAGCAGCTCATAATTTCCTCACCTACCACGTCAAATCAGTGTTAAATCTCGTCCTTTGATCTTATCCTCAAAGATTCCCTCTAAATAGATATAATTTGTATTGACTTGGAGGTGATTACTTAGCCAACAGGAAAATTTGATTTTCCGACGGGTCTTTTTTCTACCTGCTCACTTGCAGTTTGTTATTAATCTCTGAATAATTCGATATTGATTTAAATTCTTAATGATGTATTAAAATTGGACGGCATTACATCTTAAATTATTTCTGAATTATATAAACTCTAAACTTGATTCTTCTCTGTATTTTGTATCGGTAAAGATATAATCACTGATAGTGTTAATTTCTGAGCTCGGATAACATTTTTATATCGAAAATGCTATTCGCATAACGCTGATTTAACTAATTGGTAATTAAGGACTTCTTCAGTGTTAGAGTGTTTCTTGGCACACTAGTAACATTGTATTACACTTGAAAATTTTTATAATTAAAATTCTCAAGATATTTTTGAATTAAAATTCCTTATGCCTTAAATCACAGTGAGAATTATCAACCGAACTATTTAATCACGAAAAGTGAGTTTAACTTAAAACTTACTATAGAATTTTAGAATATTAATATTAATTATATAAATCTTTTAGTCGCAAAAATAAAAAATGATAATATGAGAAAATCCTTAACTTAAATATGTAAATTATATTATTTAAATTTTAAGATTTTTTCAGTCATTATATAATTCATAGTCAATGGTAAATTAAAAAGTGAATAAATTTACTAATAGCTTCCCTAATATGTTCTAAACGAAATTTGGTAAATGGTAATCACAGTAATGAGTAGTAAACCGAAAAAAAAAAAAAAAAAGAAAAAAAAAAGAGTAATGACTTGTGAGTAAAGGTAATCTCACGTACGAGATTGGTGAGGGCGAGTACAGTGAGAAATAACCTGCAACAATTTCGGTTTTTTTATTTTTATTATTTATATAAGGAATAAATATGGAGCTGAGACTGCAGGAACTAGAGTGGTGGGGGACACATAACTGTCTTAACGGTCAAAAGGGAAATCTGCGGAAGGATCCCCTATGAAACGGACACGCATATGCATTCACGCCCGCACATCACGCCTAGGAAAGCGGGGGTCCTTTTTAATAGATTGAAAGTTTCACCGTCACATTTTGGCGGGAAACCCGCAGCCCTTCAGGGCATGTATATCGGACACGTGTCAGTCAGAGCAAGTGGGTTCTGTTTGATATTCTTTATTTATTTACTAGATAAAGGGTCGGTTTAGTTAGATTGAAAGTGTCAGTCATACGTGATTTTATATTAAAATTTTTTACTATAATAAAAAAATTAGATATAATTATTTGTGATAACATTTTATTATAGTAAAATTTAAATTTTAAATTTAAATCGGTAAAATGAACGGGACCAAAATCATTACCATGAGACTGATTTTTAAGACATATAATAACTAAACTGCATTTTTCATTAGTTAAACAGAAACTAATAACTTTTAAAATATTTTCTTAAAACATTTTAATTTATTGTGATCGTTTAACTTTTGAATGTTTTAAAGTAATTTTAGATTTTTTTTTCTTAAAATTACTAGTTTATTATTAATTAGTGAGAATAGTATAATGAACATTTTATATCTTTAAAAACAGTTTTAAGGTATCAAAAGAACATTTTTTTAAAGGTGAATGTACCGTTTTAATATTATTAACAACACAGATGTTTTATTATAACAGAAGTTACCAAAATGATTTTATCTCTTTACTTATTAAGGATGTTGGCACTTCATGAGAATTAATTTTTTGTTTATTTTTATTTTTTTAAAAATTGCTTAATGCTCACTTATTCTTGAGGTTATTTAAATGTTAAAGTGAAAATAAAAGGGAGAATGTAGTAAATAGTAAATTTATGAAACTAAATTAAGTAAATAGCATATTTTAAAATTATTTAAAATAAATAGCAATTTACGTAGTAAATGAATTATTTACCGCGTGAATGGTTCATTTATGGCTAGTAAAAATATTTTTTCACGTAAAATTTTTGTATGACTGGTAAAAACATTTTTTTCTATGTAAATAAAGATTTTTAAAGATTTTTTTTACCACGTAAGGTATTTTTTACCGATCATAAATGCATTTACATAATAAGTAATTCATTTACCACTTACGCTACTATTTATTTTAAATAATTTTAAAATATGTTATTTACTTAATGTAGTTTCAAAAATATACTATTTACTACAATTTCTCAAAATTTTCACAAAATAGAATATCCATCAGCCCATGGTTACAAATATAATTTAATGATAATTTTGCATATGACTCTACCATAAAGTATAAAATTTGAATCCTCCATACAAATTAAAAAAAAATCCGCTGTAATTTTGCATATGTACGTACATGTACATTTTGCGTTCTATATAATTAGCTTTCATTCATATAACGAGTAGATCGACAGAGATTTATGCGAGGTACTACTCTGTTTAAAAATAGTAACTGGCTATTTAAGTTTTTTTAAATGAAAAAATATTGCGCTAATTAAGCCGTACTTTGTCTACAGCCTTTTGTCTAGACTACAAAAACTACACCCATATATCACGGTTAAAAAAAAAAGATCATGAAATTGGTGACTAAAACCACCCACTCAATTATCATCCTTAAAGTTGTAATATTTTATTTCAAAATAAATGAATTGCATAAATCATATTTATTAGTTGTCATATATAATCAGCAGTCGCAGCTATAATTAATAACAAAAGAGAAATATATATATATATATATATGTAACTCTCGATAATAATTATTAATTCTAGCTAGACAAGGATGTGATCCGTAATTAGTTCATTGTCTAATCGGTGGTTAATACGTCTATTATCATAAAACTAAAAATGGAAGGAAAAAGGAAAAAGGCAATTAGGCAACAGTGAAGTGAATGGTGTAAAGTGGGGAGCACAAAATTCCTAATCTCGATCTACTCGAGCCAATGACGAAGAAGACAGAAAAGAAGGACAAAAGGTCACTGGGCTAATAAAGTCGTCCACGTTATGATCATGTTGAATTGGTAACGTAAACCTGAAGAAAAAGATAATAATAAAAAAAAGCAGGAGTGAAAAAAGCTATATGTCGGCTGACTCTGAATCAATAGCAACATATTTGCATGGAACTCCACGCAAACTCACCAGCGCAACCGGCAGATTTCTCACAGTAATGCTGCTACTTTTCCTTCAATTTTTTTTTTTTTTTTCTTTTTTTAACCATCATGAAGCAAAGAGAAATCCAAAGATATTGAACCAAATAAATAAAGCAGACGATCTAATATCTACCTATACCTTTGGTGATATTCTTCTAATCAGTGCCGAGGAAAAAGTAAGGAGAAAAAAAGGGCAAAAAAAAAAAAAGATGATAATCATCTGGTTCTCCTGAAAAAGATATAAAAAAATATATATATATATATATATATATACATACGCACACATTTATGTTAGAGATAGTGAGAGCTCTATGAGTAAAGGAGGTGCTATACATATATACATATATTAATTGTCTCGCTGGCTAGCTAGCTACCTTCAAAAAGGAACTGCAAAGCAGCTTTCAAAGATATTATATATATGATGCCTATAATCAATAATATTCTTGGTAGTGAAGCAAATTAGAAGGAAATAGAGATAATTAAGCTAGCTCAATATGATATACTTATATAGACATAGAGGATGGATGAATAATATCAAAATGGCAATCTGAATTAAAGTTTTGATATTCATGATCATGAGAGTGAAGGTGGAGTGGACCACACATGTGATGAGTACCTGATAAGGCCATGCGCATGAATATACATGAGATACGGAAACTCAGTGATGATCATATGTATTTATATGGATCAGGAAAAGTGTTATCCAGTACTTTGACAGTTGACAAAGACCTCGCCCGTTTTCTCGATTCTTGAAACTAGCACCATTTGGGGATCGGATCAGATAATATTATAGACATGGTACGTTGTCGCTGGTCAAAAAAATGTGAAACATTTACTGTTTGAGATCATCCGCATGCAATGCCTACAAAAGCTTTCTGTGCTTAGTAAAACATTACAGGAAGATTTAGGTTAACTACTGTTATATATACATATACGATGAAAACATCAGTAAAATGTTGGATGTAATGATGACAATATATAAAGGCCTTATTTACTATGATTAATTATTTTTTTGCCGGATTAATTTCATAAATGCCATAAATGCCACATGAACTTTATGTTTCAATATATCCCTGAATTTTGAAAATGGTTTGTCTAGCCCCTAGAAGCAAGAAAAAAAATTGGTTCAAAACACCTTATGAACTAATGTTATCTCATAAATGCCCCATAAAGTATTGATTTTGAATCAACTTGCTCTCTGATTTTTAAAAAAAATAGTGGGGCAAGTTGAAACAAATTAGTGATTTAAAGGACAAGCTGACTTAAAATCAATAGCTAGTTTAATTAAGAGGTATTTATAAGAGTTCAAGTAATGTCACATTATCATTTTGTTAGTCTTATAATTGTAAGTAGGATACATAATTCAGAGGATGAAATGAATACTTTTCAAAATTCAGATGACATGTAAAAACAAGATACAAAATTCAGAGGTATATGAAATTAATTCTTTTTCATCATAATATTTTATTTGTCTATCATTTTTTTAAAAAATTTTGACACATGTCTTAAACTGAATTTGCACTTAGTTCATATAAAGCTTCCCAAATAAACAGAAGGACTTTATGCAATCAAGCATGGTAAACAAGAGAACACAATTAGAAAGGTAAGCGGTTTTATGGATAATATCAGCCACATATATGAACTTATTGCGCTGAAATTTTCTAGTAATTTTTTTTTTATTTTTTTTAAAAAACAACTTCATAGTAGTCATGTTTTTCGTCTTTATAAATACTGGACTTTCCAGCAGTGAGAATTGGTACATGTCAGGTTGTAAATCGACTTTCAGGAAATGTGTTAGAAATTTTCAAATGAATAGCACTAATTAAAGCTCTATTGATAAAGTCACGCGTGCTTCATATGGACAAGTTGTTTTATATAATTTATCAACAACGAAGATTCAACTTGCATCTTTTTTCGTTGAAAAAAGAGCTAGCTAGACAACTGAAATTAGTCATATATGAGAACATTCCAGTGATTTTAACAAATCTCTTCACTAAAGTTGTGTCCTTTTGCTGAACGAAAAGCTGCCGAGGGATGCACGATAAGCAAACATTATAAAGTGGGCAATTTCAATCACAGATAAGATATATAGTCCACAAGTAGTAGATCCCGCGTAACAGTCACAGAGATATGTTTCTAGCCAATGAGAACTACATGATTTTGGTAATGATGCATCGCCACAGGGAAACAATATAAGTACACAGTTCACATCACAATTTAGAAATTGGCCCTACCATATATGCAATTACCCATTAATTAAGTATTCACCACTATTCACTGTCTCATCGGTTCCTCACATCACATACATTTTGCTTTGAGATGGATGGTCTAGTTCTAGCAGCTAGCTATCGATACAATTTTTTCATATATATAGGGATTAATTTTGTGGTGAGAAATACTTTACTAATAATAGTCATGAATATTTCTATATAGATTGTCAAATTTTCATTTGAATATCATATTATTTGATTGATCAGTGATGTCTTCAGAATTAATGCGCACCACTAATTAGAGAGCTCATATGCAAATTTAGGAGCTAACTAATAATGACCAATGATCATCGGAAGAATAAAGTACTATAAAAAGCTTATATATCTCACTGATTTGCTAATTCATCAAGCAAATAAAAGACTAGCTACCGGTATATTTAGAGATGTGAATGCATATTCTTCATCTAATTTCAATTTAATATGATTGGAGTAGAGATTAGACGACATACTCTTTTTACCTTATGATCACCTACTACGCATTCCATGAGGCACAATATCTCCAAGCAATCCCTCATCCGTAACCTGTACTGGAGTACTTGTACTCTCTTGCACTGCTACATGGGAGTCTCCAGCTTCGCTAGGCACTTGGTTGGACTGGATCATGGTAACGGGAGTATGATCATTTTCCGATCTGGGCAACGGATGAATCGTCGGATAATAGAACTTCGAGTCAGGCGGCAGCAACTGCCCAGGGAAGGCGGTTTCATGAGCGATAATTCCACCTCTAGGGAAGCCTACCGTGTGATGACAGTGTTGGCCTTCGTATGTTGTGATGACGATGGTGGGATCTTCAGAAGAACGCTCTACCCTTTTCTTCACAATGCATTTGCTATTTGTGCAGCGATAATAGCTCCTGCAAAACATGATAATTAAGGCCGTAAGATTTTGCGCATCGTTATAAGCTGGAAACCATTTTATTTTAAATTTTAATCAAAGTACGGATTCTTTGAGCCACATACATAAATATATAATCAAACCATTTGTTTTAAATGTTAATCAAAAGACTGATTCTTTGAGCCACATACATAAATGTATAATCAATTATTCGGATGCCCGAACTTGTTCTTCTTTACGATTTCTTTTGCTATAATACGCAACTATATGCGTATAGGACGGCATTTAGCCTAATGCATAATTGAGAATCAAATTACTTGCATGGAATAATTGTCCAATTAAGACTATCCTATTACTCTATTAAGTACCAAAAACAATAAAAAAGCGCAATGAACTCACAAGATAAATATTCAGCCAAAAAAAAAAAAAAAAACTCAAAAGATAAAAATTATACAACAAGATTTAATCAAACTGTTTGTATCAAAAGCAAGAATTTGAGGAAGTAGGGAATCGTAGTCATACAACAAAAAAATTCATTAAAAACATTCATAATGTAAAGAACGTTATTAAGAAGGATTCAAATGCAACTAATTTCTCTCACATATGAAGGTCAAGAAATATTATACATAGAAAAGAGTTCCACCAATATGTTAGCAATCAAATCTTTTCACCTGCTAAAGAAGAGACAAATCATATTACTAGTATTTATATTTGTATAAATATTTTTAGTCGACTTTATAAAATATGTGAATGTAAAAATGTATTGCAAGCAATGAGTAAAAAGGCTAGATATCACTTGAGCTGTATATATTCCTCCCTTTTTTATTACATTTGTTATTTATTCGGACCAACACGTGCCATACTTTATCAAAATCTATCTTTTATGAATTCAACCTATCCAACAAAAATTATTTTTCTATTACTAATCACGGGATAACTACTGTTGGAATGAGTTTCACATAGATGGGATGTATTCAATTCCTTGGTACTAATCACCTCTTTTCCTCGGTTTATAATTAAAATATATATATTTATCATCAAGGAAACAAGAAAAGTATGAACTACGCATACTGTCTATCAATTTGAAAGAAGTCGAAATAGAATTCATACAAGAAAAATATTTGTGTTCACGCAACTTGAAATCTAAACAACTGGAAAAGGACCTATAAGATAAATAGATAATTGAATAATTCGCTCAAGAGAGGTCATTTCATTTCATTTACAGAGATAATATTTGTTTGCATACCTTGGAAAGGGACTATTTTTAACAGCCTTCTGTCCATATTTCCGCCAACGGTAGCCATCCTCAAGATGATCAACTTCGCTCTTCGTCATAAAAGCAAATCGTGGCTGCTGAATTCGCTTCTGCCCTTTCTTTTTTACCTTGTTTCTGCATACCGAATTAAATTTATCAAAACAAAAACACCCTCAATCTCAAATATTAACATAAAATCACGCGTATATCATCTTGGGTATCAGATGAATTTGTTACTTAAACTAAATGAATGGTTATAGGAAAAAAGTACTCATGCATTATGAAGCGCTGTAAAAACGTAGGAGTGCATAAACACTCGTTTCTTCTTTAGGATAAACACAAAATGTTTCTCTTAGAAGTGAAAAATTAGACAGAAACTCTTTTTTTTTTTTTTAAAAAGAAAAAAGAAATATGGGAAATGAAAAGAAGCTAATAAAAATGTCACTATACATGAACTGACTGCTCGTTAGCAATAATTTAGAAATTAGGTGAAAAGCTCTAATCAACAAACAAATAAAAAAAAGAATTTTAAGCACAAAAATAGTATTATCGTGAGACAGCAGGAAGTACTGCGCTGCGGTGACAATAAATGGACTATATTTAAATCATGTACTAATAGTATTGGCGGAATTTGAAAAAGAAATACTGTATTAATAGTTCCAAACAGGCATTGTACACATAATATATCACGAATCACTTCAGTGCTTCAAATATAAAGTCAAAATTCAATGTATGTTCATTGATCACTTTCATGCTTTGCCATGACTCAAATTTAATGTTATGATGGAGTACTACTCCATACGTGTATAAATCATTTGTCATGCACATAAATGAGAATGTGATACTATATATGTACGCCAAAAAGTTGCCCACTAGCTAATTAAGCAAACAGAAAACCAAACTTTTCCCGAATAAGGAGAGATAGTGCACTGCATTAATCAATCATGTAAATTTGTGTGTGTGTAGTAAAATTTCCATAGCCAAAAATACAAATGATATCAACAACGAGAAACCCTTAAACAATGAATCAAAAACTCAAAGCAAGCCCATACAAAGACATGAAGAAAGAATTTTTATGGGTAATAAGAGTAAATTGTTAACCAAGACATGGTTTTAAGGAGCATTACGTAATGCAAACTCGAACACAAAATCACATTTAGCCATAAACGATGCAAATGTTGGTGCACTTACAAACTACAAGTTTTATCTTAAATAAGAAAACAACAAAGACCGTGAAGGAAAGCCAATTATTTAACATTCATGTTGGAATAAAAAGGTAATTAATTAGTATCTTGCTGCTAAAAAGTAATGTGTAAATAACTGAAAAAGTTGAGAAATTTTTGTTCCCTATTACCTTTTTTTCCCCCACTATATTCTCGACTTTTCCCCACACAATTTTACGTAATTTATCAGAAAAGAAAATTAAAAATTAGGACCCACAAGCACACGGTTTTATTCCCAAAACCTGAAAGCAAAACTTATTAAAAAAAAAAAAAAAGGAAGAAGAATTTACTGCCCGCCATCCCCGCCGCAATAGCGGCGGTGCTGAGGAGGTTAAAGTAAATTTAAAAACCCAGAAAAGCCCCTTTGTTTATCTCAATTTCCCTTTTGCTGACCTATTTTTTCTTTTTTTTTTTTTTTTATTGAGTAACGAAATTACGAAAGTCCCTTCCTTCCACAACTTGCATGAGCGGTGTGGTACTTGTGACACCTTTTTTTTTTTTTTTTTTTTCACGAGCGTACGAACGCGAAATTGCACTGTCGCTCTCTCTTCCTAAGCATGCTAACCTAGCTAGCTATTAGCTAAATTCCGATTTCCGTTTTATTACAAAAAACCAACCCGTCATTTAGCCCAACAAAAACAAGTTAATTTACGGTTTTAGCCCACTCACGGTATAACCTCCGGCGGCGGTTTTCCGCCGGAGCTTGTGGACTTCTCCGGCGGATCCTCGCTCGAGCTCGAAGACACCGACGGATTATTCGACGCAGATCCGACCGGATCGCTAGCCGCTCCGCCGCCGCTACACTCCGCCGCCAAATCTGACCTCTCTTCCATGGCGAAGGCGGCCGCGTTCGTCCCGTCCAAGCTCCCAAACCGGTCGTGCTGGGCGGCGCCGAGGCTGGCCTCATCCTCCTCCGCTGGAAAACTCCACCCGAACTCGCTTAATATGGTGCTCTCCCTGTCACCGGAGGAGAAGAAGAAGCCGCCGTCGCCTCCGAGCTGAGTCCAGCTCGACTCGGCTGTGAAATCGGGGCCTAGATCGGATTTCTCTCCTCCGTCGTCGTCCATGTATAATTACGAGCGATCCAGAAGATCCAAGACCTAGATCCGTCGAACCGAATTCACGCTTCAATTAGCTCCAAAACAGTCGCGATAAAGAGAGAAAGAGAGCTAGGGTTTTCTGGTTATGGAAAGGACGCGTAGTTTTTGGGAGGGACATGGAAGGGATTGACTCGCAAATACACAGTTAGATACAATACATACAGAGAGAGAGAGAGAGAGAGAGAGAGAGAGAGATAAGAAGAGAATCAGAGTGAGAGAGTGAGAGAGAGAGAGAGGAGAGAGGAGAGAGAAAGAAAAAGATAAGTTAGAAACGTCGCCGTCAAGAAGCTCTGATGGGGGTAGTAGTACGGGAGGGGCTGATATTTGAGCATGGAGAGAGGGAAGAGGGGAGGGAAGTGGACCCCACGCGCATGAATAAATGAGTGAGAGAGTGAGGGAGATACTTTGGGACGTGACGGTACACGCTGTTCCTCTCTCTACCTATTCTTCTCTTCCACTAATTTAACCAATTAAACCACAGAGTGTTTATCTTACATTTTCTTTTCTTTTTCTTTTTTTTTTCCATTTAAATACGGTACATCTTTCTCTCTCTCTCTCTCTTTTTCTATAATGGAAAAATCTCTTTCGTTAAGTACACATTTTTTCCTTTAAAAAAAAAAGAAAAAAAAAGAGTACACATTTTTTTGCTACTCTTTAGCAGTTGGAGGGGGCTTAAAAAAAATTTTACTCACTTTTTTTTAGTAGTTTATCTTTTTGGTTCGCTAGTTTACATTTTTTGATTTGAACTTTTTGATTCAAATTATGTAATTTAAATTATAATTTGAATTAATGATTAAATGTGTAGTTAAAATTTTAATTAAACAGATAATAAAATTTAAATTTATATTTAATAGGTGTAAAAAGTAAAAAAAGTATGCACTATTTTAGTGTTTAAAAATGGTTTGAATGTTTGAATTTGAGGGGAGAGTTTAAACTCTAAGTTATACCGTTCAACTTAGTTCAAATGGGGAATATAATTCAAATTGCATGCTTATTAAACACCAATAAACTGTGCTCACCGTTCAAACTGAGTTGAATTGAACTAAACCAATGAAACAAACTGGGGCTAAAAATATTTTCTAATGTCCAATAACTAAAAAATAAATAAAGCATGTGAGAAAATTGGTGACTCACTCTTTGATTTCATCATTCTAAGATTTTTACCCTTTACTTTTAATTAATACAATTTCACTAATATAATTGTTTGAGTAAAAGTCTTCGATTAAATAAGTAAAAATCTATACATTTTAAGGAGTATTTGTCTTCTTTTTCTAAACCATATACACCTAGAGCTATCAATTTAGCATAGGCAAAATAGCCTGACCCGATCCAGTTCTTTCACATAGGCTTGGACCCCAATCCGGATCAGGTGAAATTAAGCTAGGCCTAGAAACCTAATCGGATTGGGCTCGGGTTTCTTTATGAGAAAATTTTTAATTTATCTTTAAAAGTACATAGTCTCGATTTTGAATCCTTACATCGTGATTAGTACCATTTTATTAATATAATTATTTGATTAATAAATTATTGTTTTTAAAGACTAAAAAGTATATTAATTAAAAGTAAATAATACAAATTAAAATTTATATATTTTTAAGCTATATTTATCCAGATTTCTCATATATATATATATATATATAATCTCCATTTTTTCTTACAAAAATTATGGGCCGGTTTAGGCAGGACTTTCAGGCAGGATTGGATCGATCATACGCTCATAAAGGTTGGCCTAGCTATAGTTTGATTTCACATTCCGAGTCAAGCAGCCAAATTGACAGTTCTAAAAATAGAGAAATAGTAGAAAATAGGTCAATATGAAAAACTTAAAAAAGTATATAGATTAATTTTTAGTTATAGAAATTAATAGGTCATAACTTGTTAAGTTATGGACAAACTTGTCAAGTTATGGTTCATAAACAGACAAATTATAGACAATTATGGAAAATAACTTGTCAGGTTATGGTTCATAACCAGACAAGTTATGAACGAAAACACTAATTTAGCCTATTTATTAACTTATGTAAACTATTGGCCTATTAATTTTAATGCATCTCAAGTCTTGACCTATTTCTCTCTTTCTCTCCTAAAAATAATGAGATGTATCATAATGCTTTGTTTTTAAAAAAGAAATTGGTCTATTATTGATTGATCGGTAAATTGTTATCGGACCAGTAAATTATTGATTGACATTAGTTGAAAACTTATCGGTAAAATAAGCGATTGGTTTGATTGCCACAAGTAATTAGTTATTCACAGATTGAAAATTTTTTCAAGAGACGATTATTTTCTTAATTTAACAAAATTTGGGATATATATTAAAATAATACTCTACAATATGTCAGTTTCCTACATATCCAAAGAAGTTATTTTCGTAGAAGTTGATTTATCAGGTAAATTCAAGTTGCTCTATGAAGGCCGCGAGCATCCGAAGCCAATTTGGTGATTCGGCTTACATTTTCTCTTTTTTTTTTGTTTTTTTTTTTGTTTCCTTGTTTGTGTCCTTTTAATAATTTTATATCACGTCCATTAAAATATTTTAACAGATATGATCTTTTAAGTGATGTGTTATCATATTTTAATTGTTATGGTATTTCAATTAATGTGGGGTGGTATTATTTAGAAGAGATAAAATAGAATAGGAATAAGGGAAGATGAGTCTAATCCATATATGGCATAAGATTAAAAAAGTTGAATTTTCATTTGGTAAGAGAATACTAACCATACCAGCCTACTTAAATTAGATTTTGCGAATCGTATTTGTTATTAATAATGAAAAAGTATTTTCTAAAATGCCATTTTGATTATCAATATTTTAATAGTTTTTTGTATAATAATATTGGAGTATCAAAGTTAGTATTGTGTGAATGTGTGATTCTTTTATTATTGGTAAGATATAACGGAATTGCATTTTTAATATAAAACTTTACTAATATTCTTTCTTACTTTTTATTCTGTATTATTATTATTATTTTGGTTACTTGTCCATATTATATATATATATATATATATCATGTGTGGTACTGAATTTAATAATTTCTCAATTTATTTTGCAATTTGGCATTAATATATGTGAGATTCGAGAGTTACGTATGTACCACACAATAGTGTGTAGTACCGTAGGAATTATGCTTGAATGATCACCACACTGCTTGTGCTTTAACTTTTCTCTTTCTTAGTTCTCTCTCTCTCTCTCTCTCTCTTTTGTTTTTTAATAAGATGCGTCTTCTTTTATTTTGCAGCATTACATTGAGTTGCTTGTACTAGAATTATTTCGAACACCATCTTAATCATCTGAAGGATGTAAAACTTTTATTGAATGATCTAAAACTAATTTGGAAGTCGAGCTCCAAGAGGGATTTAATTTGTTTTTTTCTAAAAAAAAGAAAAGAAGATCACGATGAAAAAGTAGGCAAATTATAATAAAAGAAGTGTTTATGCGAATAAAGGATTATTGTAGTCGTTTTTGGGTTTTACATTTGAACAAGATGGATATTTGATGTAATGGCAGAAACATGCACCTACACATAGGAATGGCTGAGATCAAGATCCAAAGGGTAACCTTTAAATATAAAAAAAACTGAGAAGTCAACCACAAGTACGAAAAAATATTATATTAATAGAATTTTGTTTTGAACCATTATATTTATATAATTTTTGTTAATTTTTATATTTTTATGTGATTTTCACCCTCTGTGATACCAAAACATTTGCACTATTGGGAGCATATTTGTACGGTAAAAAACTCATTCTTTTGTTAGGGTTTCTTCTTCTCTCCCTCTTGCTTTTCTTTGCGCCGCTTTTGTAGTGAGTTTTGAAGGGCCGGAGTCCGGTGCCGCCCTTGGGCTTAGCTCTGGACTCCCGGCCCCATGAAAGGCGGCTTAGGTGGCACGGCGTGGATCCTCACGGTGGGAGGATTGACAAGGCTATTGTTTGGGTGAGAGGAAAGGGTAGTGGAGAGGGCTTTTTCGGTATCTGCGTGGCTGCCCATTCTGGGCACGACCGTATGCATTATGCCCCATGTGGTGCGATGCAGTGGCCGGAGATGGAGGAGGAGGTGGAGAGGTCGTACTTTTCGCCTCAAACTTGGGACGTGTGGGTGCCTTGGTGTTGCTGCGTTATGGGCGTTTCAGCCTCAGTAGGGTGGCGGCTCAATGGGTGAAACGTTTTCCTTAGTTGGCGGCAGTGGGTGGCAGCAATGGCCTGGCCTTTTTTCGGCGTTTCTTTGGCTTGCTTGCAGCATTGAGGCTCCTTTACTCATTGACGGTGGTGGTCGGCTTGTCATTGGAGATTCAACCAGTGTCATTTGGGATTTACCCTTTTATTTGTATCATGTGCTTGTTAAATAAAGGCGTTGATGTTTTCGCCGTTTAGTTTTAGTGTGTTTCTGTTGTGTCGTTTGGTTCCGGAGGTGGTTTCCCCACCTTCCGGTGTTGTTTTTCGGTCTAGTCCACAAGTTTTTCTTTGCGGTGTTGTGGTAGGCCCCGGTAGTCTCTCAATCTCAATCGATCAAAGTTATCCACTTATTGTAATGGTGTGTTTGAAAGAGCCATTTGTGTGCTCTGATAGTTGTGTGCCTTTTCGGTTTCCTCTTTTTAGAACTCGGTACACATATTACCCCTTAGAGAGTTTCAATTGAATTTACTAGTGGTTCCGGTCTTTAATTGGGATTGAGTCGTTAAATGCGTTGTGGTCTTTCGCGTCTGAATTAGTGTTTGTATCTTTCTGATTTGTAATGCAATGCCCATTTCAAAAAAAAAAAAAAAACTCCTTTTAAAAATGGGGTAACTCCTCAATCGTGAATTCTAATCACTTATTTAATTTTGCCTTTTAGATTACAGTTCTTTCCTCGACTAAAGCTTATTCAGAATAGGCGATTTCAATAAATAGAAAATGTAGTTAAGTCTAAATTTTATCTGTTTAAATGTGAAGTCTTATTTTCAAAATTTCATCTTTTTTTTTTTTCTTGAAAATGAAAGTGGGAGCAAGCATAGGATATAAAAAAGTCTCATTTATTATTCCAATCCCATTCCTTCCAAACAAAGAATCTGGCTGGATTAACTTTATGTGGCTAAAAGATCAAACGAACGTTGGTATTTTATTGATTGTAGCAATCATTTTTGAAATAAGGATTACAATAGACGTACATATTGACAGAAATAAATGTGTATGTATGTGTATGTGTGTGTATAAATCTATATATATATATATTAATATATAGATGTAACCTTTAATATAGTAGATTAGGAAGTGCCAAGAGCCCGGCCACTTTGCGTTGGCAGGTGGATGGAATAATCCTTTGTTGCGTTATTAT